AATAAGTTTAATTATTAAAATGTTTTTATAACTTTGAATTAATACAGTATATTCTTTCTAATTATTATAAAATTAATTTGCAATAATTTCAGATAAAAAATTTCTTGAATAAATTAAGATAATAAATATTTATAAAACTTTCAATTCATTTTCATAAAATATCTTGTAACAATAAGACAAAGTTTCTGTATTATATCGAATAAAATTAAAACCCAATAATTGTATGAAATAATATAACACCAAAACAAAATTATTTTTGAATTTTATTTTTTTATTTTTACATTAATAGATTAAATTAGTTTATTATATTTAAGCTTTTTCCAGTTTTCTCATTCACTTTATCTAAAACATGGCACATTTCTGCTAATAAGTGGAGTAATAAGTTCTGGTGATTGTTTACAATATATTCCCGGTCTATTTTCTGATATTTTAAAATGTAACACCATGAAAGTTCATTTTGGAAGTCATCAATAAATTGCTGGTCAAGTATTTGGTAACGAGAAACATAATTCCAGTTTAGATAATCTTTTAATACGCGTAAAGTCATAGTTTTTAATCGTTGGTATTTTAAAATTTTTTTAATATCAAACTTATGTATGTATCGCCTAATAAAATTATCTGAAAGAATTTGAAATTCGGCGACTTTATTCCAATCAAGATATTGTGAAAAGTTTGTTAAGAATGATTCGTCTAACACCTGATAATCGCAAATTAAATTCCATTTTGCATATTTAATATGTTTTTCAATAAATGAAGTAGCGAATATATAGTTTTTCCATAGAATTTTCCAATTTAACTTATCAGTAAGACCTGTTCACATGCAGGTGATTGATTTGATAAATCACATGATGGGTAAAGTATATAAAAGAAAATCTGACAAGAATCGATGTCATTCTCCGTTATTATTGACTCTTCAAAGTATAGTTAAAGGTAAGAACATATATCAGAAGTTATGTAAATAATAAATGTTAAATACTAATAATTATAAAACTTCATTAGCGGAAATGCAGAGAGGATTACAGTATTAGAATAAATGTTAAGTTTTCCTAAATGCTATCGGAATATTTTATATAATACAATCTGAAAAATATGTAATTTATATAAAGATATACGTAAATTACAAGTTTTAATACCATTTTGTTTATTGTTCAATTGTATGTTTTCGCTTTAAAAGCCGAGTCGAAGTCAATTGTTGTATCGTATATAATTTCATCAAATGAAGACATTGTCTGAATTAAAGAAAGTTCCTAGTAATTCCCCTTTTAATGTACATTCTCCAGAGGACTATTTAGAAAATAAATTCGATTTTTTGTTTTAATTCTGTACAATATAAGTGAGCGATATCGACTCTCAAACCATATAATTTGATATTCCCTTATCCACTTTAACATTTTTTTTTCTAAATTCAATTTTTTAAGTTTATTTTATCATTAATTTTTATTTTATATTTTGTTATTTTTACCTGCTAAATATAACAGACATAAAGAGTGCAAAAAAAGTTTAGCTGTTTTGTGGTGATTTGTATTTTCGACAGTTGTGCAGTTACAGACTCAACGTTATCTCAAGTGTTTTTCCCCTCTCACACAGTTAGTGATAATACAAATAAAACGGAATATTTCAGATAGGTTCTAAACTTGGATAACGATAAGTGTCATATTTATTATCTACTTTGAAGGTGCAGGTTATGGTAGAACTTATTTATTTTAAACTTCTTTAAAGTTTTGGTATATTTTTATTTATGACGCCACTCTTTGACCGCTAAGATTTTTTGTGTGTGTGTCCATCATGGGTTTGACCAGGCCCACAATTAAGTAACCTGGTGTTGTGGGAGTGGACCGACATGAAGTTGCTGGATATATATGACCGTGGTGCCGTGGTCTATCCTCATAAAACTATGGCGGTTTTTAATTTCGAAGCGCATTTTGTAAACAATTTACTCGTGTAAATTACAATTAAGTTGTAGTCAAAATATTATTGATGCATCTACATTAAATTTTCAGTTTTGCTTATGCTTATATAAACTTGTTAACTCTGAATAACAGCAAACGATTGGAGATAATTTAAAAACTCTATTTAATATATTTACAGGAAGTAACAATCATGAAAGTATTGTTATTACTAACTGTATTATGGACTGTGGCTTCGTGTAAATACATTCTTCCCGAAGGAATCGATCCTCTTTCTCAACAAATGATAGATTACATCAATTATATCAACACTACTTGGAAGGTAAGTAATGGTGAAAAATTTTATACTTCACGTATGAAATTTAGCTTGGTATAATTATAAAATTACAACAAACCAACCATCATTAATATTAAAAGAATTTAAACTTCATTGTATTTTATAATAATATTTTTAAATACAACTATTTCTTACTCGGTATCTGCTAGAAGTGCCGTGCCAGGTCTATATCGCTAGTCTTTACAAATGTACGAGTTTAAAATTTTGGGTATATTAATGTGTCTAAAAACTGTATTTTTATAATCTATTGTTACAATTTAACCTTTGAATTTTAAGGATCAAAAAAGTGCAAATTTAAATTTTTAAATAGTAAACAAACATCTTTTTACGGATACTTTTAAAAAAATTTTAATACCGAATCATACTCCAATGAGTTTTAAATCTAACTAAGCATTAATAGTCTTCTGATTGCATCCTGCGATGGATTTTGCCATGTCTAATGCCTTCGATTGTCAACAATCGAATAACACCTCGCATTCGATTCTAATACAGTTTGATATAGGCCACGCCATTTTGTATATCTCAGTAAACACAAATGCCACCTATTAGGGTTAGTACAGGGTTACGTTACTGTGTACATTTTCAATTTTATTTGTGTGAACCTTGTATGCAATTTTTTTTCCTCAACAAAGCTTATTTATTGTATCTATTTCGTATATAGTGTGTACTAGAGAGAGAATTAGTGACATTTAATTTCTGAGATGTTTGATGGTGGTATCTGAGAAACTTATAGATTACACCTTCATCCATGTAGTCAGGTTTTCAATGATTGTAACGAAACACCTTTATCCACTCGTGTCTTTGACTATATTAATTGATATTTCTAATATAATAACGAAATTGTATTGATAAAATTACAAAATAATAAATTTTATATAAACTTTATAATACAAATAAAACAGTTATTTTCGAAGTAGTTAAGAAGTATCATTGTTTAAATAAATTATAAATGAATTAAAACTTAAACTTTATTTTATAAACACGCAGGAAGAAATTTTGAGGGCGTGAGTCTTAAATACATCAAAAGACTTATGGGCGTTCACCCAAAAAGTAAATATTATGGATTACCTAAAATTCGTCACGAAGTTCCGAAGGATATTCCTGAATCTTTCGACGCTAGAAAACAATGGCCTTATTGTAAAAGTATCAGTTTAATCAGAGATCAAGGTTCATGTGGATCGTGTTGGGTAGGAATTTATATTTTAACTTTTTTTTTTATAATTTTTGATATTTTTGTAAATATCATAAATATATCTTCTTAATTCACATTCCAGTCTTTTTACTCCTATCAAGTATGTTTTATGTGATAATTTATCAGTTTTTCTCTTTATTCTTTTATCCAAAGTATGATTAAAAAGTTTCCGGACTGACTTAATATAAAAGTGCCTTACTTTACTTACAACAACTACACGTGTGATCGAATTTCTAGATAATTAAATTTTCAGCATGCCTAGTAACATCATTTCGGCGATTTTCAATGGAAGATTTACACAAACAATTCATATGTTTGAAGTGTTGCTTCCATTTGAAGGAATCGGCCAGTGAAAACTTTTTGATGATACAAAATGATTTGGAAAAGCTTCAATAAACAGAACGACAATATTTGATGGGTACAATATGTCTAAAGATTGCTGCAACTTCAGTCATACCTGATCTAAGATCTGGACACCCAAATACGATAATACATCTCGAAGCTATTCAAACATTCAAAATTTGATGTCTGTATATCGGAGGATAAATATCAGAGAAGTTTCTGAAGAAATCAATGTGTCAAACGAATTGCATTCAATCGTCCATGACGCTCTTGCTTACAAAACAAGAGCAAGCAAGTTTGTTCCTTACATATTAACTGAGCAGCAGAAGAAACATGGTCAAATGGTTCGCAAACCATGCTCCGAATGGCTGAAAATTGACAAAATGTGAGAAGATAAAGTGTTAACCGCAGACATTTTATTTACCAATTTGATACTAAAATTTAATGATATCATTAAAGTTTTGTGTGAAATCATCTCATAGGTGGTATCTAAAATTTTCTGCTAACTCAGAGAGACCTGAAATTGTCACATTTTCATAGCTCTTTATTTCCAAGAAACTATCTTTAGAATCATTTAAAGATTCTTGGTACTGCAAATGCTCTTTACATCGTGCATGAGATACTCTCCAACTAACAACATAGCTCTTTGTATTTTAATGATCAAACTATAAATCTTCAAACATTTCCATGGATTTTCTCTTCCTGTATCTGACGGCGAGTTTCAGTTCATAATCAGACTCGGCCCTTATAAGTTCCACCTGATCTTTGCAGAATAAAAAAATAGACATGATTTTTTACAAGTTTGTGGTATGTCTAATTTTCAAGTTTTTACAAGTCTAAACAAAATATTGTTATTATAATTTTTATGATAGATTGCGAGATATAAATGTCTAAAATTACATAGGAAAGGAAACGAAAAGCAATTTCGTTAGAAACAAAAATAAAAATCTTAGGATCGCCTTGCGAGTGGTGAAGGTTCAACATCTGTGAAAAAAGTTTTGACTTCAACGAAGCAACTGTCAGAACAATTAATAGAATTCGAAATTCTATAAGAAACTCTATCATCTGAGGATCAAAACTTAGCTCAAAAATATTATTTAATCTCTACTGTACGAAAAAATCTTAGAAAAAAATTGAAATTTTTTTGGTGCTTTAGATTGAAAATTTGGTGCAAAAGAGGTTACCTGTGATTCGAAATATTATTAAGCAGATGGCACTATGAAATTGTAAAAAACTACAGGAATATGAACCATCAACTAAGCATGCAACTCAAGGTAAAACAAAAAAAAATTTTTTTTTGGTGAAGGATTGCTGACAGGATTCTAAGATGAAATGCATTTCACAATATTAAAATTAAAGGGAAAATTGCATCTGCAGTGAAAACGTTGCCAAAAGCTTTCCAGAAAAACTGAACAAAATAATAATAGAGAGCGGCAGTGTTCCTGACCAGATTTTCAACGCTGTCGAAACAGCTACAATCGATCCCCCTATAACACTGTTGATAATTCCGTTTTATATGAATTCCATGTACAAGTCACATAGATTTTTCAAATACGTGAGCCGTTCACAGCCCAGCACACGTATTTATAAAATCTATGTGACTCGTACAACATGGAATTCATATAAAACGGAATTATCAACAGCGTTATAGGGGGTCGACCGTATAAACTGCAAGAAAATTTACGTTTCTCTTTTACACGGTTTTATGAATGAAATATAATTATTTATTTTATCTTTAACGGCTTTTTATAATTTGCAACGTATCTTTTTGCACCATTTATTGAGGAACGTATCTTCTGTATAAAAAAAATTAAGTGTAATCGTTACCACCTCTAAGGCGAACAATAGAGAACAGGAGGATCTCTATTTAGTCCTGAGTAAGTCATCTCATTAAGAGAAATTAAAAGTCGTACTTTTTTCTCTAATTCTCACCACAATAAGGGTATTGGCACTTATATTCTCCAGTCACCATACCAGTATCGTGGGTTTCTCTGCTTGCAGGTCAAAACCTTCAAGTCACTCAAAAAATGATGTCAGGTCATTCACAGTTTTCAGGATGGTAAATCGATTTTGAAATACAAATTGAAAAGCAGCACACTAAATGTCATATTTCTCATAAACCACAAAAGAAAAGCAGACATTTCAGAAATTGTGGTAAACCAGGTCGAAAAATGTCAGTGTCGTGGTTTTTCAGTGCAAAATGGAGGAGTTTCGTGTATTGGTTTATGTAGTATTTGATCCAATAGGGCTAAATAAGGCTTAGTTTCTTATTGAAAGTATCTTTTTTGCATATGCCTATGTATTAAGTCGCCTTATTCCAACCGACCAACATACAACCCATTCAGTTTTTTTACCCAAAAAATAACACTTTAGTACTTCCTCAGTCACCTATTATTTAGATTTAGCCAAAAATAATTGTTTTCCTTTCTTTTCATAAAAGTAAAAGATCAGATATGAAACAGCTACAGGAGGAGGCTATTTCGAAAACTATCAACGTAATTTCTTTTCTCCCTTGTATTAATAGTTATATGTACAGTCCGGCAACTTATTGGTCATTCCTTGTATTTTTATAAGGTGAAAAGTATAACTTTGTTAATAACTTTTTCCAGATAGACTTAATTGAAACTATATAATTGCTACATGATAATAAATTTTTATTTAGTTTGTTTTATTAAACCTTTATACGTCTGTGTGTATCTTAAATAGGCATTTGGAGCTGTAGAATCAATGTCAGATCGAATTTGTATTAAAAGTGGAGGAAAATTGCAAGTTGAACTTTCAGCTCAAGATCTAATGACTTGTTGTGATTTTTGTGGAGATGGGTAAGAACATGCAGAAATACAATGTTGTTATTAACATTTGTTTTTTCTTCTTGAATTTAAGAAATACTAGAACTATTTCTATCACATTATCATATTAGCTGCTTTTATCACACTTGTCAGCCTCGACGGCCAGATGGCCGAGCCATCAAGGTGACAACCAACCCCTCTGGAGGATTCGAGATCGAATCCAGACTGATAAAAAAGTCCCCAGGAATATTTCCGGGGTGGTCGGACCGTTTGTGTCGGTCTTCGTCCCTCACCATCAGATCGCCCCGTTGTGGGCCTGGACGAACTTAAAGTGGGCTTGCTGTAACAGGGTGGAAAGAGCAAAAAAAACTTTCAGTCATATTTTAAACTCTATGATGTGGGCAGTAAGTGGGTTGTTTAGCAATCCCGTTATGAGTTCATACCAGACTTACAACAGAGCGGTCGGTAGTGAGGGAAGACCAACTGAACGGATCAACGCCCAAAAATTCTTGGGATAATTTAACCTGTGTGGATTCGTTCACGAGTCTCCAGATCGGTAAGCTTCTACTAAGAGATGGTTGGGCTATTCAATTAAACTAATAGAAGGTCCAAAAATTCCAAAAAAGGTAATCTTATTGCAGTATTCACTTTAAAACTCAGTCCAATACGCTGACATCTATATAATATTGATTAGTGTAAAAATGGATTTATTATTAATATATATTTATTGAATTATTTTACTTATATGTTACGGCCAAAGCCCGAAATTCGGCCAGTTCTCGAATTGGCTGGTTATTTCGCACTTTGGCCGAGAGGTGTGGCCAAGGTCCGATTTACTTGAAATGACCAGTGTACAGTACATGATACTTTGGCCGACCATTTCGAAGGGACTGGTAATTCCTGGCCAAGATTCAATGTGCTGATACAAGACTGTCCGGTAGGCGGCACATTTTTTGGTTCCAGCGTGATAGTGTTCTCAAACAATTGCCAGGTCGCCCAACCGCGCATAATGGCAGGATATCCGAGCAGTGCCAAAGCGTATGTGGAAGTGTTGATGACAGAGACAACTCTCTCCAGTTACAATCAATTTTCCCGATTTATTGTTTTTTGTTATGCTTACAAAAACAGTATTTTCTGTCCGAGAACGGGACGATGTGAATATCCGGATGACTGTAGGGTGGCTGGGCGGTAAGACGGTTGGTGAGTTGATCAGTTAAACAACTGGACGTCTTGAGTTTGTGTCGAGAGATATGCGTCGTTTAAACATCGGTGAAACGGAGACTATTTTCACTATGGAGGATGCTGTACAGTATGAAAATCCGGTGGAGAAGCTCTTCTCCGTGTCATTCGTAATTTATTTATGAATATGGTCCCGGTTCACTTCCGGAGTCTCACACAACTGTAGTCCAGAAGTGAATTTTCCATTCTGCACGAGAAACTGCTCACACTGGAATCCGTGGGCACAAAAGAAAAGTTACTACGAACCGTCGCATCTCTCCAATCACTGACAGGTGGCCAAGGCTACACTCGATGCAATTGCATTACTAAGTCAGCAACAAATCGCTGTAAGTACAAAAATAACAAACGGTGTGTAATTCGAAATGTCATAACAGTTCATCTTGTCGTAACAAGTGATGGTAGAGATTGATAATCTACTATGATTGATAAATAAGCCTANTTCGGCCAGTTCTCGAATTGGTTGGCCATTTCGCACTTTGGCCGAGAGGTGTGGCCAAGGTTTGATTTACTTGAAATGACCAGTGTACAGTACATGATACTTTGGCCGACCATTTCGAAGGGACTGGTAATTCCTGACCAAGATTCGATGTGCTGATACAAAACTGTCCCGTAGGCAGCACATTTTTTGGTTCCGGTGTGATAGTGTTCTCAAACAATTGCGAGGTCGCCCAACCGCGCATAATGGCAGGATATCCGAGCAGTGCCAAAGCGTATGTGGAAGTGATGATGACAGAGACAACTCTCTCCAGTAACAATCAATTTTCCCGATTTAGTGTTTTTTGTTATGCTTACAAAAACTGGATTTTCTGTCCGAGGACGGGACGATGTGAATATCCGGATGACTGTAGAGTGGCTGGGCGGTTGGACGGTTGGTCAGTTGGTCAGTTGATTAGTTGGACAACTGGACGTCTTGAGTTTGTGTCGAGAGATGTGCGTCGTTTAAACATCGAAGAAACGGAGAATATTTTCACTATGGAGGATGCCGTACCGTATGAAAATCCGGTGGAGAAGCTCTCCGTGTCATTTATAATTTATTTATGAATATGGTCCGGTTCACTTCCGGAGTCTCACACAACTGTATTCCAGTAGTGAATTTTCCATTCTGCACAAGTAACTGCTCACACTGGAATCCGTGGGCACAAAAGAAAAGTTACTACGAACCGTCGCATCTCTCCAATCACTGACAGGTGGCCAAGGCTACGCTCGATGCAATTGCATTACTAAGTCAGCCACAAATCGCTGCAAATGCAAAAATAACAAACGGTGTGTAATTCGAAATGTCATAACAGTTCATCTTGTCGTAACAAGTGATGGTCGAGATTGATAATCTACTATGATTAATAAATAAGCCTAACACATAATTGAATTTGATAGTTTATAGTTAATAATCAATATAAAGTATGAAATTATACAGACCCACCAAAATCTGCTAATGACTTTCTTCTGATTTTGGCCGATCGCTTCATGCCATTTCGCAAACTGCCCGGCCATATCCCAAAATCAAAAAACGATCAGACATTGGCCAGTCAATTTGCAGTGACTTTGGCCATTTTCCGATTTGCCCGGACACTTCCTATCTTGGCCGTAACATATATATAAATGTATATTTCATATAAACATTTATTTTTATTTTAATTGCGTTTCTGGATAAGCCAGTATTTATCGAGGAGAATTGATAAAACAAATTCCACGATTATATAGAAACTTAAAAATACAATTGCACAAATATATTAGATTTTATAGGCAAAAGATAGGGTTTCTCTAACGGGATCCCGGTAATTCCGGCTGTTTTTTTAATCCGGGAAATATTTCGAAAATTTTTCTCATCCCTGGAAAATCCCACAAATTTCTTAAAAGTTCACTTTTTTGTGTGTGTGTTAAGGTGGAGCAAATTTTGCAAATAGAAAGTATAATTAACACATAAACTGTCAGAATACATTTGTATTTATTAATTTTAATGCTGCTTATTACTTTTTTAAATTTTTGATCGTTATGGCATATCACAGATTGTCAATAATCAAAATGTAGCCTATTTGTGGCAAGACTCAGAAGATTCTTTACTTGTCAGAATCTGTAATATCTTGAATAAATGTGCTTATGCTGTCTTAATTTTTAACCATGCCTAGAAGCTTCAATAACTGCATTATACCAGGTTGTGCAAATTGGGCAAGAATACAAACCAGTATGAAGTATGCAAATATGAAGGTTTTCTTCATAAACCTGATTATTAAAGCCAAACGAACTGCCGAATTACCAGGCTATAAGATTAATTCTTCTATTAAAGCAGCCGAAGTAAACAAATCAAGAATACTAGACAGCAAATGAAGTACCAAAACGTATGAGGAAAACGAACTAAAAATAAATCTTCGAGGTTACAGGTGATAAACACATAACATCTGTCTTCTCTTTTTTTGTATATCATTCGATTTCGAGATTTATTTTATATCTTAAAAATAATTATTTATATCCTGGGATTTCCCTGCATTCCAGAAAAGAAATCATCTTTTTTTCCAAATCCCGGGACAAGCAAAAGATCGGGAAATTAAAAAACCTAATGTAAAATAAATTACGTATAAAATAGAAAATTTTTAATTTTTTCCCCCTCTAATTAGTTGTTATGGAGGCGGTCCAGGTTTAGCTTGGTGGTATTGGGTATATGATGGAATAGTAACTGGAGGATCATACAATAGTAATGAAGGTTGTCAACCATATCAAGTTCCTCCTTGCGAACATGATACGAAAGGTCCACTTCCACCATGTTCAGATGATAATCCAACTTTTTTATGCGATAACTCCTGCCGTAAAGGTTATAATGTTACTTATAATCAAGATAAATATTATGGTAAGTGACTTTTATTTATATGTATAATAATGTACTGACGTATTATTTTTTATAAAAATTTTTTAACAATTATATTTTCATTAAAAATTCGATCTTTAAATTATTTGAATTCAGATTTGAAATAAAAACTTTTAAAATGTAAAATATTTCCGCGCCTATTGTATCTATCATTACTGCCATTACAAATTGAGAGAGGGAGAAACGATACAATGAAATAAATTATAATACCTAAATGGATTAATTTTAATGGGTATTTTTTCCAGGAAAATTAGTTTGTTTTTAGAAACATCAGTCATAAAATTCATTTTAATTACACCGAATTGTCCTAAATTTTTCAAATTATATATTATCCATGATTTTTTAAAATACTTTCAATGTTGTATTTTATTCTACATACTTTCAACTCTTTCTGTATTGCGGACACTAAAAATATCCTTTATTCTATGGTCATCATGAGTTCCGCCGATTGCACGTTCTTTGACTTTTTGTGACGTCAGACACTTCATTGGCGTTAAACTATGTAACGCTGACAATTCGATCGAAGAACTTTACCGTTAGTTTTGCGTAATGCTGATTGACTAATTAATACTGCTGAAACTGAACTACTAACACACACTGTAATAATTAATAAAACCTTTAATTTACAATAGGAATATATATTAACATTAGAACACTTGTAGCTTTGTGTGATAACATTTGTCTGAAGAATAGAAAAAACAAAAGGTGGGAAAAAGACAAAAGGAAGCCGGAGAGGAAAACCAACCAGTGCTGCCACCAAACACCAGATCATGAAAACGTTTAGAAAAAATTTTTCCGTATTTTTCAACAAGTACAATTGAGCATGCATATTGTACGACGATGCCTTTCATTTATTCATGATGCTACTTTGTTACAAACGGCGTATACTGCAAATGAAAAATATGCCTTCCGCAGAACGTTTAGCGCTTTTATTAGAGTACTGCGTTTGTACATCTTGCTGAAAGGTTGATTCTGCTAACATGTTCAGATGTGACAAATGAACTTGATTTTAAAAACGATTTTTGGTACATCATTCTGCACAATATTTGTATACAAACTTATAATACGCTAGAAGTAGATTATTATTTTGATGAACAAGGAAGTGAAGTAACTATAATGCATCCTGCTGTCAGAAAAGCTACAACAATGCTTGATGACATTGCAAATAAAATGTTTATTAGATCTGAAAAATTTTAGAATATTTGTTTAATAAAATGGTTAGATGAGTCAACACTGATCTCAATATTTTACTGACGAAACGGAATTCAAAATACAGTGTTCATTTCAATATCCCCAATTGATATATTTATTTGAACCATAGTAGAAATACAGTCGACCCCCTATAACGCGGTAGATACGTTCCACTTTTTATGAAATTCATGTTCTACGAGTCCTTAAATACATGAACCAATCACAGCCCGGCACGTATGCAGTTTACGGACTACGGCTGTTTGAAAGATTTTGTTCCATAAAATTAATCGATTCTAGACTAATTTGACTCAACATTTCCAAAACACGTATAATGTTTTGGGAATAATCCATATAAACTATATAAACAAAAAATTGTAGGATTACTTACCTAGTGTGCACCGTTCAACAACGCCATTGCTTAAGCTTGTTTTCGTCGCGGAGCGGAGCATCGAACGGCAGGTGCGTGTGTTTCCTGATAAATTATTTTTCTGCGAAAAATTCGCTGAACTTTGGAGGCATCATTAATATAAATATAATTTTTATTGACGTTAAACAATAAATGGTTTTTAGTAGGTCCGCTGCTCGTTTAAACTCAACGGTTTGTGCAATATCCGCTATTGGTCTAGATAGACCAATTCTGTCGCGACACGAGTCGGCGATGACGTTTTACCGCATTTTACGAGTCGCTTTTAGCGTCTTTATACGAATACGGTCGCAATTTTTTCGACGCGATATACGAGTCCGCATTATATAAACCCGTTTTATAGGTGGGTCTACTGTACTCATTCTGTATTTGAATAAAAGATTCTTTGTATAATTTTGTTCAATTATTATTACATGTATATTGCAAATAATAGTACTGTATAGCATCACTATTTAATAAACTTGTATAATTTCACTGTGTAATTTATAATACAGTCGACCCCCAATAACACTGTTGGTTATTCCGTTTTATATGAATTCCATGTTGTACGAGTCACTTATATTTTACGAATACGTGAGCCATTCACAGCCCGGCACACGTATTTGTAAAATGTAAATGACTCGTACAACATTAAGTTCATATAAAACGGAATAATCAACAGTGTTATTGGGGGTGTCGACTGTATTCTTTTCATGTAGGTTTTTATGATTTACTCTATTTACTTAATGCTATGAAAATGGTAGTAGTATTTAACTTTAAAAATTCCTAAAATGTAAGTAGTTGAAACAAGGATTTTTATTTAAATGATTGAACGTAAGATTACACTTACGATTAGACTTAACCTAGCGAATTAGCGAGAAGACCACAATTATGACGAATTTTCACTAAACCAAAAAAACATAACACCTTAATTTGCTGAGAAAAACTTTTAATGAAAAGCTAACGTTTTCAGCNAAATGTATATTTCATATAAACATTTATTTTTATTTTAATTGCGTTTCTGGATAAGCCAGTATTTATCGAGGAGAACTGATAAAACAAATTCCACGATTATATAGAAACTTAAAAATACAATTGCACAAATATATTAGATTTTATAGGCAAAGGATAGGGTTGTTCTAACGGAATCCCGGTAATTCCGGCTGTTTTTTTAATGCGAGAAATATTTCGAAAATTTTTCTCATCCCTGGAAAATCCCACAAATTTCTTAAAAGTTCAGTTTTTTCTTATTTTGTGTTAAGGTTGAGGAAATTTTGCAAATAAAAAGTATAATTAACACATAAACTGTCAGAATACATTTGTATTTATTAATTTTAATGCTGCTTATTACTTTTTTAATTTTTTGCTCGTTATGGCATGTCACAGATTGTCAATAATCAAAATGTCGCCTATTTGTGACAAGACTCAGAAGATTCTTTACTTGTCAGAACCTGTAATATCTTGAATAAATGTGCTTATGCTGTCTTAATTTTTAACCATGCCCATAAGCTTCAATAACTGCATTATACCAGGTTGTGCAAATTAGGCAAGAATCCAAACCAGTAGGAAGTATGCAAATATGAAGGTTTTCTTTATAAACCTGATTATTAAAGCCAAACGAACTGCCGAATTACCAGGCTATAAGAGTAATTCTTCTATTAAAACAGCCGAAGTAAACAAATCAAGAATACTAGACAGCAAATGAAGTACTAAAACGTATGAGGAAAACGAACTAGAAATAAATCTTCGAGGTTACAGGTGATAAACACATAACATCTGTCTTCTCTTTTTTTTGTATATCATTCGATTTCGAGATTTATTTTATATCTTAAAAATAATTATTCATATCCTGGGATTTCCCTGCATTCCAGAAAACAAATCACTTTTTTCTCCAAATCCCGGATAAGCAAAGGATCGGGAAATTAAAAAACCTAATGCAAAATAAATTACGTATAAAAAAGAAAATTTTTAATTTTTTTCCCCTCTAATTAGTTGTTATGGAGGCAGTCCAGGTTTAGCTTGGTGGTATTGGGTATATGATGGAATAGTAACTGGAGGATTATACAATAGTAATGAAGGTTGTTAACCATATCAAGTTTCTCCTTGCGAACATCATACGAAAGGTCCACTTCCACCATGTTCAGGAGATGATCCAATTTTTTTTTTTGCGTTAAGTCCTGCCGTAAAGGTTATAATGTTACTTATAATCAAGATAAATATTATGGTAAGTGACTTTTATTTATATGTATAATAATTTACAGACGTATTATTTTTTATAAAAATTCTTTAACAATTATATTTTCATTAAAAATTCAATCTTTAAATTATTTGAATTCAGATTTGAAATAAAAACTTTTAAAATGTAAAATATTTCCGCATCTATTGTCTCTATCGTTATTGCCATTACAAATTGAGAGAGGGAGAAACGATACAATGAAATAAATTATAATACCTAAATGGATTAATTTTAATGGGTATTTTTTTCCAGGAAAATTGGTTTGTTTTTAGAAACATCAGTCATAAAATTCATTTTAATTACATCGAGTTGTCCTAAATTTTTCAAATTATATATTATCCATGATTTATTTAAATACTTTCAATGTTGTATTTTATTCTACATACTTTCGACTTTTTCTGTATTGCGGACACTAAAAATATCCTTTATTCTATGGTCATCATGAGTTCTGCCGAGGGCACGTTCTTTGACTTTATGTGACGTCAGACACTTCATTGGCGTTAAACTATGTAACGCTGACAATTCGATCGAAGAACTTTACCGTTAGTTTTGCGTAATGCTGATTGACTAATTAATACTGCTGAAACTGAACTACTAACACACACTGTAATAATTAATAAAACCTTTAATTTACAAGAGGAATATATATTAACATTAGAACACTTGTAGCTCTGTGTGATAACATTTGTTTGAAGAACAGAAAAAACAAAAGGTGGGAAAAAGACAAGAGGAAGCTCGAGAGGAAAATCAACCAGTGTTGCCACCAAACACCAGATCATGAAAACGTTTAGAAAAAAATTTTTCCGTATTTTTCAACAAGTACAATTGAGCATGCATATTGTACGACGATGCCTTTCATTTATTCATGATGCTACTTTGTTACAAACGGCGTGTACTGCACACGAAAAATATGCCTTCCGCAGAACGTATAGCGCTTTTATTAGAGTACTGCGTTTGTACATCTTGCTGAAAGGTTGATTCTGCTAACATGTTCAGATGTGACAAATGAACTTGATTTGAAAAACAATTCTTGGTACATCATTCTGCACAATATTTGTATACAAACTTATAATGCGCTAGAAGTAGATTATTATTTTGATGAGCAAGGAAGTGAAGTAACTACAATGCATTTTGCTGTCAGAAAAGCTACAACAAAGCTTGA